ACTTTTCTGAGCATTGCTACCATAAAAGCTAACTCAAATACTATGTACAAATATGTATACTAATTTTTAGTACGTGAAAATGTAAGCATAACCATGTTGGACAATCATTGGGTTGCCTTTTTTAATTTTTATGTTCGGCAGAAAATTTCCTACGATTCAAGGCGTAGGACGTCCGATTCTTACTCGTAAATTTTAAAAGTTCACTAAAAAAATCACTTAGGCGACATGATAGGATTAAAGGAAAAAAAGCAAATAAAATAATGAATATATAATTATTATTATAATTTTTCATAATTGTATAGATAAAGTAGTTAATACAATAATTAACTTTCCGAAAATATTTTTTTTATTTATCTCTACGTTCAAATCTTCTGAACATTTTGGCATACCTAAGAAAAAATGGATGTATGTGTGTGTGTGTATGTGCGTGCGTGTGTGTGTGCGGATTCAATTTTTCGTCGACGATTTCAGAAACACGGATATCAACCGATTTGAATGATTTAAAATACATTCGATTTCTATTGATAAGAAGACGTACTGATTAATTTTTTCAGGCAGGTCTGAAAAGGCAGGTCTAACCGTTCCGAAGATACGAGGCAAAAAGTGCCAAAAACGGTAACTTAGTTTTTATGAGAACGGAGCGTCCGATTTTGATCATTCAAAAAATATATTACTTGTACGGATAAGGTCAAGAATTGATTAAATTTTTGGGAAGGCAGGTTTTGCGGTTTCGGAGATCTAGTAAAAAAGTAAAAAAATGCCATTTGGCGGTCAAAAATGATCATTAGACATTTGCATATGCACATTAAATTATCAGATATATTTTAGAGATTTTATTAATGGGTATCAATTTTGTTTACATTTTTATGGTTTCCGTAACATCGTATGTCTGTAAGACGGGGACGCAGCGCTTACGCTCTTCGATATTTCGTTTCTATGCACCTATTTCGAAAATATTTCAAAATTTAAAAAACATTTTATTTCAAAAGTTTTTTCTTTCCAAAAAAGTCATTTTTTTTTTTTTTTCAAAAAGAATTGCGCGTTTTTAAGAAAACTGCGACTAAAGATGAAATTTTGACTCGCGTACAAAAGCGCTGCTTGCTTTCAAACCTTGATAGTATTTTCAAAATTAAAACGACTTATCGTATGTTCGAAATATTTAGTTATATTTGAGATCATTATCTATATTGCCAAACAGTTTTATAAATATTACTGTAAAGAATATTTAACAATTAAATACGAAGAACGACCCGACCGATCTTTCAAAACTAATTAGCACGATTTTCAGATGATGCCTTTCGAACAGTTTCTGATTTTTTAAAATTGGTGCAGGATTTTTGGCTGAAACTGTTTTCTTGATTAGAAACATCTTGGCCGATCGTTGCACAAAACTGACAGACGCTAGCCGTTATCTACATAACTGACTTTTAAATTTTTGAAATAGTTATAGAGAAAAAGTTTGCAAAAAGTAAAAATCGGCTCATATACACACTTTTTTTTCAAATTGGGCCTCTAACGATTCAGGATGACATGAAACGTCCAAACAACATAAAAAATATTAGTCGATTTTTTTGTGAGAACATGTTAGATATTTTCAAAGGCGGCCAAATATATGTCGGAGTAAAGACGAGGCACAAGTAATATTTTTAAATACTGGGGTTTTTAAAAGAAATTATTTTTTCTATTGTTCTAATTTTTTGCTTGCTTGATAAAACTGCTACCGTTCTTCTAACAACCGATAACAAAATATATATGTTTTATAAACAAGTCTATCCTGTTTTTTGTTTTTAAAATTTATTATTTATGATCTGCCTTTCAATTGAGAATTATCAATTTCGTTATCTTTTTATGTTTTCAATAACATATTTTTATGATAATTTGAACGTTTAATTAAAAGACAACTAGTAGTGCATGGCATCGTTTCTTGCTGGAACTTCCCGTGCCATAATGAAATATTCGAAAAATATTAAATGTTAAATATAAAATACGAGGAACGAATATAAAATACGGCAGCTTATATTATTCTTATTTTATAGACAACATATAAGAGAGCTTATGAATTGGACATTGACGTTCATATATGTTTACATAAAGTAAATGAACAAAACTTAATCAATTGAATTTAAAATGAAAGACATTGTCTATTATTTTAAGAATTATATAAACTGAATTGCAAAGTTGAAATTATTTATTTAAAGTATATAAAAGAGAACTTTAGCTAGAATTAGAATTAAAATCCGAATTGTTTTCGATATTCGATAAATAAGAATATTAGAAAATAAAAAAACATTTGAAATAAAAAAATCTTTCCCCAAAAGCAATCATTTCGTTAACACAAACGAAAAGTTTTTTGAATTATTCAAATCGGATGCTTCGTTCTTACCAACTGCCATTTTTTACACATCTAGCCACGTATCTCCGAAATGGCTAGGCCTGTCTGTGCCAAAAACTAATGACAACTTCTCCTCATCATTACAAATTAAATCATTCCAATCGTATGCCCAATTGTCGCAAAATCCTAGTTTCCATTTTTTACACTCTTTGCTTCGTATCTTAGAAACGGCTAGACTCATCTTTCTCAAAAACTAATCAGCACTAATCCTCATATAAAATTGTAGCCACACATACATACACACATCAATTTTTTGAGGTGTACCAAAATGTTCAGAAACTTCTGGAACGTGAAGAAAAGCATAAATGTTCAATTTAGACTTTGTACGATTACAATAACTTATCCTACGGAAAATTGAAAACTTGAAAACTGTTGTGAATTTTTACATAGCGTGGCTGAGAAGAAATATCGAAGAGCGTAAGAGCCGCATCTCAGTCTCACGACTAAACCTTGATACGGAACCCGTAGAAATGTAAACAAAATTTAAACTTATTATTAAAATCTCTATAAAGTATCTGATAATTTGATGTGCATATGTCTAATGATAATTTTTGACCGCATGGCATTGGACCGATAGCATTTTTTTTACTTTTTTTCAGTCGATCTCTGAAGCCGCTTCGCAAAAATTCATTTTGTCAATTAAATAACATGTTTTTCGAATTATTTAAATCGGACGCTCCGTTCTCTCAAAATTTGAATTATCATTTTTTGCTCTTTCGCTCCGTATCTTTGAAACCGCTAAATCTGCCAAAAACAAATCAGCAAGTCTCCTCATCAATACAAATCGAATGTTTTTCAAATTAAAGTAATAATTTAAATAAAAGTAGTACAGAAATCGTCGATAAAAATTTGTATCCGCACACACACACATACATACATCCAGTTTTTCTAAAGTAAGCCAAAATGCTCAGAAACCCTGAAACGTAAAGATATATAAACATTTTTTTGGCATTTTCTTTATTTTCATATTTTTTTTACATAGGTTTTTTCAGTTTTCATATATAGATATTGTTCACTAATATAGTTAAGTAGTTAAAAAAAATAATATAAATTTAATACATAATAAAATTCGGTTATATAATTAATATTTAGAGAGAATTATCTCTTTTTAATCTAATAACAATACTAGTTAATTCTTAAAATGGAACAGTTTTTTAAAGGTATATTTAATACTAGAACGAATATAAACATAAATATATACTTTAACAAATACATAAGAGTGAAATATAATAGTATAATATAGAATTATTCATTGCTATCTACAACATAAATGGTCATATTTATTGCAAGATTTCCATTTTCAGCAAATGATCTAACAATCGAACTATCAAATATCAAGCGCCCAGAACTCGAATTTGCCGTAGGTACCCCGTCCTGAATAGATCCCGCAATTCCTTCCCAACTCACGCGACGCTGATGTCCATTCAGTTCAAACTTATATGCATATTTTTCTGCATCCTCCTTAGACCCAAACAATTGAACGGCACCGAAATACTGTTGGGCTGCATTTGGCTTATCTTGCTTTTCCAAAATCAGCATAAAATGTTCGCCATGACAGGACTGCATCATAACCCAGTTCATTTCTCCAGGCAAACCGATGTCGATAGCCATAAAAACTATATCTTCTCCATCAAGGTTTGTAATGGGGGTATGTGACTGTCTCATATGAGGTATCACTCCTGCCAATGACCCTTTCCATTGGCAAATGGCCCATGGACAAGGGCAAGTGTAAGGCCGAAATTTACAAGTTTCTTCATGTGCAGCCTTTTCGATGTTGTTCAAGAATTTAGTGCAACCATTTCCAGCATTGTTGCACGGAAAGATCACATTACTAGCAACTTTTTCCATGGCCAGATTTCTTATGTTACCTACGTATGAAAATTAATATATTATTCATAAAATAGTTTCAATTATAGGCAATTTTAATTAAAACTGAAAAATTATTTATAAATAACAGAGGCTTCAAATGGTTTGCATTATTGCAATGCTAGCAAGATTTATCATAGCCAGATTTCATATGTTACCTAAAAATCCAGAACAAGTAGGGCAGCGTTCCAACTTTGATCTACATTTCGAGCAAATCAGATGTCCACTTTGGCACTGATGGACTCTAGGAACCGCGTGGTTAGAGCATACAGAGCACTTGAACAGGGATGCTAAATCAGTAGAACCAGTAGGTTCAACGATTCTTGCAGTAGCACGCCGTCTTATCCTACGTGAACTCATCTCGTCAAAAACGATCTAAATATCTTCTGTATAAAATATCAAAGTAATTAGACAAAAAGGACAAACTAATAATCATTTTATTGAAATTAATACTTAATGAAAAAATATTAAAATAAAATAAAAATCAGTACAAACACTATTTTTTTGAAGTACTGCGGTCGCTGGCCTGAACAAAACTAATCTGGTTGACGCGACAGTTGATCTGATACTGAAATATCGTTTTCGCGAACAAGTCAATCGTCTTTATTGTTTATAATATTTGATTATTGTTTGCGATTCGCAATTAAAATGGCGAATCAGGAATTTCATTTCATTTGCATGTTTTCTATAAACAATTTTGTTATCAATCGAGCGCTTAATTAAATGACAAATCGTATTTTATGAATTCTTTACATAGCGAAGTAGAACTCGCGTGGTGTTTTGAATATTTAGGTAAACATTTATTTATCATAAGTACAGTCAGTGTTATACTTCCAATATAAATACTGATGTTGGTTCAGAAAACCAGCATTCAGTACAAAATTTTGAAGCAGTAAGCATAGTTTGTGCGATTTAGCTAATTGTGACATTTTTGACAAAGTGCAATTTTATTTCATTATATACGTTGATATACATTATAAAGCAATGCAGAATTTTTATATAAAGAAATATACATTTTATTCATTTATTCCAACAAAATTAATAATTTTCAAAAAACTTCAAAAGCTCAAATATTTAAAAGGGTTTCGAAAATATGAAAAGATATGAAAACAAAACGTAATGAATGGCGTTTATAGTAAGTAGACTTTTTAGTTTATGTCCTATATGAGCATGGTCTATAGTTGAGTTTGAATTGAATTTGTCTTTTGCGAATGTTTCTAAGCTTTTTGAGAAATGAGATTAATAAACCTAAACATGATATATCAATGCGAATAATATGTTATAGCAGACAACTTCCACATCATTTATATGTAAGTAGAAAAATACAAATGTTTTATAATTTTAATATAAATATGATTTTTTGAAAAAAATTGTCCTAACCGAAAACCTATCTCAATTGCTAAAAATTTTAATCTAACCAGTTAACTGTGTTTGACTAGTATACTCGTCACGGAGAATGGAAAATAAAATTTTTTATATAACTCTGAACATTTTGGCATGTCTTAGAAAAAATGGATGTTTGTGTGTGCGGGTACAATTTTTGGAAACCGTAATTAAAAAAATATTCGATTTCTATTGATTGGGAGATGTGCTTGAAATTATCAGATATTTTATAGAAATTTTAATAAGAAGTATAATTTTTCTTTAGATTTCTAGGAGTTTTGTAGCAATTTTTATTCGTTGGACTGCGGCGCGGAGATTATGCTCTTCCATATTTCGTCACTAAAACAGCTACGCGGGGTGATTGCTTTGAGCAAATGTTCAAAATTTTCAAAAAATTGCAAAAATTTCAAAATTTTTAAAAGTAATTTTTTAAAAAATTTCAATATTCTTAAAAGTCTAATATTTAAGTTTTAAAGAAATTTTAAAGCTTTTAAAAAAAATAATTTTCGGTACGGAAAGTTCCAGTAAATTGCCTTAAGGCACATTTTTTTGCACCTAGTTCATCATGAACATCAGCAAATTTTTGGTCGTTCCATAAAAAATGTCTAAAACGAATGCCAATGCATTAGTATGATGGTATCTTGTTTAAAGCTTAGTAGTACAGTCTTACATTAACATTTAAAATATTTAATTAAATTTATGCCTTTCTAGTTTAATGCTTAAGTAATATAAACGTATGTTAACAAAGAAGTTAAATATTGCAGTATTGTTTTTAATAAATCAATTTTTTCATCCGAGATCTTACCCTGTGATTGGCTCGATTCGGACGACACCAAACTGTAAGCACTTTTCGATGTATGCGCCAGAAGTTTTCCTTATACTTTTGTGCAATAAAATCTTGGGAATATTGAAGGAACTGTTTCGGGGATTTTGTTTAGATAATATTTGATTGCAACGATTCCATTATGTCGCCGATATTGTATATCATTAGAATCGCTATATTATTTGCATTTGCATCGGATAGATCAATTTTTATTTACAAATTACTTTAAATTGCCCAATGGTTGTTTACGAAGGGTGTTGTTTTAGCGACTTAATTCTATAGGCCATTGTTCATTTACTGTTCAAATTGAAATTTTATATACTTTTGTGTAATAAATACTTTGGAAGATTGAAGGAATTGTTTCGGGAGTTTTGTTTACATAATATTCGATTGGAACGATTCCATTGTGTCGCCCGTTGACAGGATGCAGTTTATCAATATGATCGGCATTGCAATTTTTATTTGCAAATAACTTTAAATTGTCGTATGGTTGTTTATGAAGAGTGTTGTTTTACCGCCTCAATTCTATAGGCCATTGTTCTATTCGAAGTGTGTAAAATTTTGTAAACATCCCGAGGAGAACAGACTGTTTGGTGGTAGTTGGAACCAATAAATAGACAGTTCCATGCGCAAAATTTTATTCGTGTTGCAGCAGCTCTGAGGTGAACATCAATTTTATTTGATCAAGTGATCGGTGATAAATTATTGTACAAGTGCTTCTGAGTTTTGGAGTATCGGTAAGTGACTTCTTTTATTACCTTTAATAATAATTTAATATATTATTATGTATTTTCACAATGTTTAGTTATGTAAATAAAATAGAAATATGATTTTAGGGAATCAACATTTAGAAGATCATTCGATAGCTTTACCTTAGATTCAAAGGCTTAGATTTTAAAAACAGTAGACTTATAATTAATTTTGATTTTTACATGCTTATTTTATTTTTTATCGGTACTATATTAAAATAATTTAAAGTTATTGAAGCAGACAACTGAATAAGAATATTAACACAAACATAGTTGGCGACTTGCATTTCAATTCGGTTTCTTTTAATTTAAATATACTGTACTGAAACAATATTTAACGTACAAATCAGACTAATTCATAACGCGTTTTATGAAAACCTGCAATCGCGTTATATGTAAACCCGCAATCGCGTTATATGAAAACCTACAATCGCGTTGTATAAAAACCCGCTATCGCGTTATATAAAAACCGGCTGTCGCGTTATATAAAAATCGGCTATCGCGTTATATAAAAACCGACTATCGCGCTATATAAAAACCGGCTATTGCGTTATATAAAAACCCGCAATCGCGTTATATGAAAACCCGCTATCGTGTTATATGAAAACCCACAATCGCGTTATATGAAAACCTGCAATCGCGTTATATAAAAATCTACAATCGCGTTGTATGAAAACCGCTTTATGACAACTCAGAGTTAGTACAAATCGCATCATACGTACCGCCTTATATGATGACCAATTAATACAAAGACAAGTTGGATTATAATTCACTCTATTTGAATTCTATCATTTGATCAAATATGAGACAAAAAAGTTAGTCTTTTGGTGAAGGACAAGAATTCATAATAAAACTTATATCGAATTCGCAAGAAAAGAGTCATTCATAGGATGCGCTGAATGAATTTACGGGCTGTTTTGACGGAAATCGCGCTATAGGAGCGCCGCGTTATAGGAGAGCTGTTGCGTTTACAACTCCGCTCAATATGGCAACCATGTTTTTAGGATACCGCGTTATAAGAGCATCAACAGTATACTTTATGTTCAGCATATTTTATTTGCTAATCTATTGTTAATTGTTAATCAACAGGCTGATTCATAATTTATGGAAAATTTGCAATTTATAAAGTAATATACAAAAACATTAGGACTTTAAAAAAAAGTACAAAAATCCCTGTTCGTTTCAAATCTACTAGAAGGGTTTGACCAATACTGGTAACCTCTGTATAACGCGGCACTCCTGTAACATGGATTCTTACTGACATGCTTTGAATATTGGCAATATTCCTTTTATACCACGGTGGAAACTCGTATTCAACGTACAAACCAGAGTACTTCATGAGGCGTTATATGGAAACTGTCTATCTAGTTGTACGGAATCCGCGCTATAAGAACTCAGAATGCGAAATTATTTTTATTGAATTGAAGAGATTATATAAAGATATAATAACCTTAATGGCTGTAGAACGGAAACCGCGTTATAGGAAGGCTTTTTTCAATTACAGCTCCGTGCAATATGACAATTGCGTTCCCAAGGTGCCGCGTTATAGATGGTTCTGTACTGTGAATTTTGATTGTAGGATCTACAGTATACTTTATCTTATATTATATTTCAAATTTTATGTTATATCATTTTTTGTCACAGTTAGCAAATTTTATTTGCTGATCTGATTTTGAAATTTCTGTTTATTGCTAATCCAGATTCTGTTATATAAATTATAAAAAATTATCAATGTATAAAGTGCAATGAAAAATAGTAGGAATTTAAAAAAAAACGTACAAAATCCCTGCTCGTTCCAACTTTACCAACAGTGTAATCATTATTGGGAATATCCCTTTATAACACGGCCAAAACCGCGTCATAAGAGACTCGCATTTAACGTGCGAACCAGACTAATTCATAACGCGTTTTATGGAAACCTGCTACCGCGTTGTATGTTGTAATTTAAAATTATTTTTTTTAATTGAATAGTTCATATAAGGGTGTGATAAAAAAATATAAATTTTTTTATTGAGGTTTTGGAATTTTTGGGTCAATTTTCTTTATTTTATTTTTTTACTGTGGATTTTAAAAATACATACAACTCTTTTTACTTCAAAATACTATATAATTTTATCAAGGTTGTACATCCCTAACATTTTTTTTTTAATTTTGGGACCAACATTTTAATTTTTATAATTCGAAATTGAAAAATACATGGAACTCTTTTTACTTCAAGCAACTATTTATTAAATATGTCAATATTCAATTTAAATAGAATTAGATCCAGATTAGGTTGGCACTTGCAAAGACTATTAATATGTCCCAAAAACTTTCATATATAACGTACTTTGCAGTGGGTAAACTATTCATATATTTTTGTTAGCTGCCCGTTTCACTTATATATGTACCACATTTGCAATCAGTTATTTTTATACAAAACATTTTATACTAGAAATATTTTTTATTGCAAAACGTTTGCCGGGTCAGCTAGTATATATATATATATATATATATATATATATATACATATGGTGTGCTCTGAAAAAAAAATTTTCATATATATAACATATAGATAAGACGCAGTTAAAGTATACAATATTTGCTTTTAACTTCCTGAAGAAAGTTAATCGACTTGCTAATTTTACATTTTCTCGTCAAATTGTGTCTTACGGAGTTGTGAAAAAATTTTTGGAAAAATTTGTGTATGGATGATTGTGTGTGCGTGTGTATTTGAGCCAAAATTTGGCATCTCATCGACATTTTCTCAAAAATGGCAGCACCGATACGGATTTGCATTGATTAGTTTTGCGCGACAATCAGCCGAACCATTTCTTTGTAATTAGCATATACGTTCAAAATTATTTGTCAAAACTCCTTTTTAAAATCGTGCTGATCAGTTTTTGGTAAACATCGATTTTACGTAATTAATAGAAAAGATATTTTTGACAATTGTGTATGTATGAAACTACGTATATTGATATAGGTTATGTTCTACACCAACACCTCCAAATTGTTATAGGCAAATGAAAAATAGTTTAAATATGAAATTTATTGAAGTTTTGAATAATGGAACAATGGCTAAATTAAAATTGCAACTTACCTGAACGTTAAATGCCGATCAGCGTTGATTTATTAATATTTTAATCGTAACTTAACATGCAAAATTTATGATCACAAATACTATTGTTATAAATCCTAGATTGTTATTTGCTGTTGTCATGGCAATTTATTATTCATCTCATAGAGATATCACAACCGTTTAGATTGCCATGTATCAAAAGCCACCTTGTTTTAGAAATCAGCACTACAGCTCATAAAACTCATTAAGTTCAGATTTTTGTTCAATTTAAGTCCATGGTTTCCAACCTGTGGGTCGCGTGGTTGTTGCAAGCGGGGCGTACAGCTGTTTGCAAAATATTATTTTTAAAATTTTATGTATATTTTTTATGTATATTTTTACATAATAATATATGAATTTGTAGTATGATAATTAAATTATAATGTCTTTAGAGTATTTATGAAATGAAATTGTTAAAAAATTAAGCGGTGCGCAATAATTTTTTTATATGAACGGGTGAGAGCGCAGTACGAAAACGTTGGAAACCTCTGTCATAAGTGGTATCATAGTGGTACACCTAGATCATATGTCGAATTACTCGTATCTTGAAGCAATTTTCTTCATATAAATACTTTGAAGTGTCATTAATTTGTTCCAGAAAGTTCCATTTGTTCCATTTGTGGTTTTTGTTAAATTTTTTGAATATAAAATCTATTTTTTCATTAATTTATTTATTGTTTTTCCTGTCAATTAAAATATTGCAAAAATTAGTAAGACATGTTTTGTTAGACAAATCTGATGTTCGAACTGTTACTGTCACTTTCCTATCACAAATCCCTTTTTTATAATAGTTATTTTAGTAGTCTAATCGTTTTTTTTTGTGAACGTTTATCATTGAATTTCGATCAAGATTTTTCTGAGCTGAAAAAAGAAAATTTTTAAGATTTAGTGAACGATAAAACTATAGTAATATTGCAGAAATAAATGGCAAAAATTACAAAAAAACACTTATTATTGTTTTATATTGAAAACATTTGAACTGTCATCTGCTAGAAATGTCAATTCACTTGAAATTTGAATTTTGCTAAAATTATGAGCCTATATAATTATAGAATATAATATACACGAAAAATGTAATGTCTTTATTATTTTTGCTAGAAAGCAGCTGAAATTAAATAATAAAATTAAAGCCAGCCAACCAGAAATTAAAATAATATAAGATACAGTCAACAGTATATGATTGGCAGATGTCATTATATAATTCAGTTTAATAAATAACGCAATAAGTCCAAAATAGCATATACATTATTTTATTAAACTT